TTTTGAGCGAAAGATAGATGAACAATAGTCATCTAGTGCTAAGCGGCACGCTGGTGTGATATAGCAGAATAAAACAGCAAATTGGAATTAGAAAAAAGTTTTTGAAGGGGACTAAAATATTTTCTTAAAGACTGGAAATGATGCCCTTTACAAAGTAGCCGTCAAACGTAAAAGAGGACCGCTCAAAGTTTACAGAAGAAAGAAAATTACGAGTTTTATCACTAAGAGCAGAATACTTAGTCGAAAATTGCACATTTATAGTAACAAAAACTGTTCAGGTCCGTGTGGTTAAAAGTAGAACACAACACTGTAAATGATTGTTTTCCTGTCTTTTTCCTTAAAGGTTTCAAAGTTAAACCCGTCAATGTTCCACTTTATTTGACCGTAATGAGATCCCACCTACATGTTCTTTTGATGCGTCATCCGCCCTCAAGGCAGTAATCGACTTCCTTGTAGGTCAAAGGGCCAATAATATTGAGAATTTTCCGAGTATCATTAACTGAAGCTAGTACTGCCATCATTTCAGTCTGGAGTAAATGAACACGTTAAACGAAAATAATTTTTATCAAATTTCCGTCTTATATTTATGTAAATTTAATCACGCAAGGTAAGTCGCCTTTAATTCCCGACAAAAAGAAGAGATTATTATTTATTTTACACACGTTTTCCACGATTTGACCATAACATCACCAAGACAAGACATCAACCAATAGGACGATACACAGTCATATTTCACTGTCAACTACTGTGTGAAGGCAAAAGCCACAAATCTCCGCCGAATTTCGAGCTGGACCGTTCAGCTGTCAGCAAAAGCAGTCCGAAAAATAGATTTCGTGGCATCTTTTCCACTGCTTGCGAAAGGTTTAAAAAGGCATGCTGGTAGAAAAATGTGGCGCGCCAAATCTGTGGGAAAATGCCTCCTCTTAAAGTTCACGTTTTGTGTAAAATTTTAAATTACTGACAACGTCCACATGCGCCTTATAAGCGTTCCCATTGGGAAAATCAAGTATGACTCACCATGCTCTGTATTGCTTTACGAAAATTTGTGGTGTCGCGGCGGTCCATCCTCATCCGAAAACTGTTAAGCAAGTGAAAGAAAGTGCGCGTCATCGATATAGTACTGTGCAAGGCCTAAAACACTTCAAATGAGCAATTTTGTTTTGTCTGTGATGACAAACGCTATTCAAGCATTGCATATCTTATAGGAAAAGAAACCCTACTGCAAGACATGTGAATGTCAACACATCTGTCCGTTAAGCACAATGAAATTACCGTGCTTTTTAAAGCCAACAGCTGTGCAGTCAAATGACCGAAATATATTATTTTCATAAATAAAGACCAACAGTTCCTAGGCATGACGGTGCAGTAAAAAACATCGTTTAATGGCAATTTTTTTTCGTTTTTTTACAAATTAGAGCCTACATGTTTCTGCGGTTCCGGTCTTTAGACAGTTTTCATTACTGCACTTAGCCAAGAAACACGGATAAGCACTGACGCGTCTATTAAGTAAGAGGATATTCAGCGTCAAACATTCTACCAGCGACTATTAATAAAATCCCAAAAGATACCCCCTCGGTGCACAACCAAAAAGACACTAAATGAATATGATATGCGAGCAAGTTACTCGAAAGAAACTGTGCAGGAGGCATCGTGATTATTAAACTGATTTACACGCATCTTTCTAACTTGGCTGACCTACCATGTAATCCACAGTCCATTACTACATCTTCGGCTTTGTAAATACGTGTATGTAGCCTTTGGACACACTTCATGTACCCTTTGCTATATAGCCTGTGATTTAGGTCGACGCGAGTGGTAAATATCTCGCGAAGCACACTAATCATCCTAAAATGCTGAAATCAAACAAGCTAGTAATGTCAGATCCTGGTGCGACATCGATCTCAGAGCATTAATAGTGTTTGTGCTACTGCTGATTGATTGCTGGTTGAACGATGTTCGGTCGGGGCTGTGACTTCACGCGACGTACCGGTGGTGAGCGGTAATTCGAAGCTGCGGTGAAATTATGGCCAGCATTTGCACTAGTAATAATAAAATCCTTCTTCCCATGCTCGTCTTTTACCGCATGTCAGGTCACTCTTCGCCTCGAACCTCCTGGTTCCTTAGGCTGAAGTGATGCATTTAGATCGGCAGGAAAGGCCACGCAACGACTGACAAGCTGAAATCTGTTTATCCGGCTGCCGCTGTCTCCCGATCTTGCGTTTATTTGCCAGTCAACTGATTCGGTATTTCCGAATGCGATCGTGTAACAGTCTTCAGACTTTTTGGGAGTAATACAAAGTATTAATCTATTTTATCGTCCGAAAGCAGGCTTTCATGTATGTCTGCATTCATCTACCACATTTTTGCAGTGTCGTATTCTTTTTTTTAAAAAGATCGGATCTCCTAACGTGGGATGAGATCCTCTGATCTCATGATCTTTTCCCGGCTTGTAAACTTCAGTAAAGGGGTGCTAGTCTCAGGCACATTTAAAATTTAACTCAGCATTCGCAAAAGTCTAGTTTTTAGTAAGGCCGGTAATTCGGTTATCCTGAATCAGCTATCTCTACAGGCAGGTCTGCATAATATCTGATTGCGTTCAACGACCAAGAGGAAATTTCTGTTCAACGGTTTGAAGTAATAACGCAGGATTGAGGACCTAGTTTTGTGTGATAACGGATAATTGTCACTAAAACGTATGGGTTTGAGCTCGGTAGTTGCCTTGTTTCCCAGAAATCGGTGTTCCTTCCTATTAGCTTAATACAACTATTTACCTTAGTAATTTCCAAAACTATTTCTGTTAGTCATATACTAGAAATCGCATAGGGAACGCTAGGGGATCCGCCAAGGCGGGTAACCTCTCGTTGCTGTTTCACGCAGCAGCAGAAACGTCGGGGAAATGGGTGTCTGGGCTTTCAGCTAGTACCTATAACATTCGGGAGGAAAATGCAAAATACATGTGAGGGAGACTGGAGTGACCATTTCTCGCTTATTAACCGTTCTAAGTCATTTTTAGCCAAACCAAGGTTTGCGGACACCTTAGGGCGAATCCGAATATTTTTGTCTATTGAGTGCAAGTGATTTTGACGTTGTAATCACTAGGTCACGGGCTTGTTGTCCTGTAAGTTTTGTTCGGCTCTTTATATGGTGGAAAGAAGGTTGCTGGAGCAGTTTATATACCATTTTCCTTTCAAGGCTATTCAAGGCAGTCATATTGCGATCAGTGATAGATACAGGCAGGAATACCGACAAACACGAGAGATGCTGGAACGGCCATTTATGACCTATTGGGCGATATCAGCCAGCCATACCAAACCCCAGGTGGAGATAATTTTGCAGTCGAATCTGCGTTCTTTCAGCACTAAGTGTTAAGCTCGACGTCGTATCGTTAAACAGTAGAACAATTGACGTTTCTTTTCTAACTGGGAATATGGGCCAGTCTGTTCACCGAGCAGATCATAAGACATTCTCCTCCGATTGAGCCTTAAGGCTTCATCTCGAATCCCTACAGGCATAATTCTGACTACTATGGACCAGTGTCTGACTGGGTCTGACAATATACAACTGAAAACAACTTTGCCTGGGTTAATTCATAAAAAACCCATTTAAGAAAAAATGATTCAAAAACGGCTCATTGTTGTGGTTTAACACTGGGAAAAAGCCAGTTTTGGATCTGGACATACAAGCTGCTTTTGGGCCTATCGCATATCTATATATACCTGGTGAAAATCAGGAGCTGGTTCAAAAGTCTTCTGGAAGTTTTACGCGGGCGTAAGCATGAACCGAGCCAAAGACGAGAACTTTGAGCAACAAATACCAACGAACAAGTATGGTTTATTTGCCTTCACCGACATCTATACGCCATTCATTTGTGAGCTTTTACCGATCGCTAACCGAAATCACTCGTCCCGCTCTGCCTTGAGGCTCACTCTCGAGTGTCGTCAGCAACCGCTCAACGGCGAATAGATTAAGTAGATAAACATTGCCAGCAAAGAGAAGACAGACGGGAATTGTAATTTCTGGCTCCTGAGTCGCAATTGGCCATTCATACCGAAACTGAAGTGCTGAACCCTCTGAGGCTCGAACCTGTGACCCTTTGATCATAAATTCAGCTCTCTATCCATCGAGCCATAGGTTCGTTGTCTTACCGATTCAGATCGGAAATACTTACACTAGTTAATGAGCGCGCACCGGCCGCTAACGGAAATTACTCGTCCTACTCTGCCTTATGGCTAACTTTCGAGCTCCACCAGCGTCCGTTCAGCAGCTAGAAGATTAAGCCGTTAAGCATTACTGGCAAAGACTGATATTACTGGCTGGTGACGGCTAATGAGCCAGAACTAGCCGGTCCTGTTTCGTTTGCCGGCAATGTTTATCTAGCTATGCACCATGTTATGAAGATCAGGGAGGACGGAAACGGGGGTTGCGCGCCGGATTTCCGGAGCAATGCATAACACCCCCTATTATATCCATAAATCAGGTCGGATCAGTGAACGCCGTGTCTGCGCGAATTCAAATGTAAAATTCTTGACCTTTGCAGAAGTTGATACCTGAATTGCCGTACAGGAGCAAAAAGTCTGAATTTGTCTCAATATCATACGCGAGCTTTGCCTATCTAAACCCTGTTTTGGACACAAATATCTGGATTTCAAGCTGATAAAACAGTTAGGATTTCGCCTTCGGTAGCGGCGATTTCACTCGTTAAATTTTTGCCCGACGCAAATGGAGCCAAAATATAACATTTATACGGCTACTTCTGGGATAAAGTTAAATAGCAAATGCAGCAGGATAAATTGTCGACAGTTTATAAAAGCTTGCCCTAATATATTTATTTCATTTTTACCTTCTTTTGTCTCATTTAGTAAGCTGGGAAATATGACTGATGTTAGATACTAAAAGCACTAAGTAACCCGGCTTCACTTTTCTACTGTACAAACTGTCGAAAGCCTAGCAACTGTTTTTAAATTATATTCTTTCGGTTCACAAAAATGTGAATCCGATGATTATATTGCAGGGTAAATATACAACCAGTTAAGAGCTATAAAATACCTGTCTTGTTGCAGGCTTTGTCGAGATGCGTCCGGTTGCATGAACGGTGAATCACTGCCAACATCTTCAGGCCAGCCTTCTCTAAGGTGAACGGAGGATGCAGGGGAGGTGTAGTCGGTTAATGAGGTGTCTGAGTACCGCACAAACTGTTGCAGGGCACTCTGATCGGAGGAACTTCGCGCATGCTTAATTTGATCCATTGTATCCACCTCCTCGCCCCAGGGCCTGTCCCAGTACCTTGGCGGTGGCCTGGGATCATAGCGCACGTGTTTAGCTGGCGTCTTTGGGAGTGTGCGGTCCCAAACGCCGGTGGATCCTAGTCGATTAGCATGGGTAGGACGCATCGCACTGGCGGACTGCGTGTTCCCGTAGCCAGGGCTCCGGAAGGCAAACGTGGGGCTTCGGACAAAGTCATTGGCCTGCCGGGCCGGGGACTCAAAATATGACCCGAGACGCTGGTTGCTCTCGGGC